ACCCAAGTCTTACCTGTGGAAGACAATGTTTGTGAGTGTTTGCCTGTGGAAGGTGGGATACAGGCTGAGATTCAGGTTCTCAGTGGTGCATCTGATTGTGCCTCACAGGGCTTGTTTCAGGACAGTCTCTCCCTGTGCAGAAGCTGCTGCATTTGTTGACCTGAGCATGTCTGGAGGTTGGGGTGCAGGGTCTTTGTTAGCCACGTTCATGCTGTATTTTCTGTAATAAGCACCATTGCTTTGAGGATGGCCCCTCTCACCCCCTGAGCACCAGGTCGAGCTGGCTCCACTCCCGCCCAGGGAGGACTGAGCCCATCTCTGCCACAATCCCAGGTCCTGGGATTCCCAGCTAGCCCCCATTCCTCCTGGCTGCTCTGCCTGTTTGGCTGAAGTGCCAGGACCCTTTAAAAGGCTGCAGGCTGAGCGGCAGAGCTGCGGCTGCTGCCCGGAGCCAGGCTGCGGCTGCTGCTTCCTTATTTACAGCTGCCTTTGGCCACTCACGAGCTTCTCCAGCAGCTCAGCCCTGGCAGTGCCGGGGACGCTGGTCACCGTCTGCTTGTCCCTGCACTGAGGGCCAGGAGTGTTTGTGCCCTGGGAGGGGTGCCATCTGGCACCCGACCTTTGTACCAGCAGCGTACCTGGCTCACCTTCCAGCTGGACAGAGCCAGCACCAGTGGTAAAGCTAATCCTTTTGAGCAGCTCTGCTGATTTTTAAATTGATTCCCAATATTGACAGCAAGTCCAAGCTGGGGCACAGGGGGTAGGGTCGTGGGCCATATGGCAGAGCTTGTACGCAGGCTGTGGTTCTTCAGGCTGGGGCCATGAAGGACTTCAGCTGTGAAGCCTGAGTCATTCTTCTGCCTTTAATGTTGGTCTGAGCCAGGCTGGCACCCCTCAGCCCAGCCCTCCTCGCTCCAGTCAGCTGTTAAACACTGCCAGAGCAGGGGCAGCCGTTACCAGACCGCCAAGCTCTGTGTGCACTGCGTGCCCAAGCAGCTTTGCAGTGCTCTGGAAGTACAGCATCTGTTTGCCCTTGCTGGGAACGTCTGACACGTTAGCGTGGGCCAAATGGCATCTTCCAAGGTGACCAGATGCTTGCTGGGTGCAGATACAGGGCTGATGGAGCAGGGATGTGTGTTGTGGTGGGTCCTGTGCCAGCCAGCTTTGCCCACTCTGCTTTTGCCCCTGCTGTTGGTCCCCACGCGCCCTGGCAGCCCCACGGGCTCCATCTGAGATGGAGACCAGGGTACGAGGCTGGAGCTGCCATATGTTCCACATAAAAACACTTCTTGGCCCATTCCCCAGCATTTCCTGCCACTGCCACACGTGCTCCAGATCCCACATGCCTCGCAAGCCGTTCACCAACTGCAGCCTGGCAGATGGAGGAGCCGGGCATGGTTTTGCAGCAGGAGAGACAGGAATCCACAGGCTCTGTTTGTTCTTAGGTTGTTCATGGCAGCAGAGGAAGGGGGAGGAGAGCTGGCACCCACCCCTGCAAACTGCCCCTCTGCAGAAGGAGCAAGACATTCCATATCCAGTCCCCATCCTGGAGCTCAGCCCCAAGCCCTTCTTCAGCTGCAGGGAGTGTTTTCACCTGGTGCCATCCTGGTTGAAGGCAGTTGGAAATGAGTGTCTGGGTAGATGGAGACCATCATTCCTCACGGGCAGGTGGTACTGGTTTGTTTTGGTGGCAGATGGCCAGTCAGCACTAAAAGCAAAGGGAGAAAACCAGTTCTCAGAGGAAGCAGAAATTTATTGCAGTAGGAAATTAAAAATGAGCATGTCAGCTTTTGGAGTAACTCCCACTCTGCCTTTTTCTGTCTGAGGGGGATGAGGACTCCTGGTTCAGCCCTGCTCTGTGGCGTGGAGGTCTGAAGGTGCTCAGGAAGCTGAAGGCACATCCCTTGGTGGTGTATAATGATGGGGAGTGACTGGATAGAGCTGATGTCTCTCTTACCTTGTGTGGTAGAGCGTGACCAGATCAGTGTCTGAGCTCTGAGTACAGAAGATGAGTGCCCAAGCCTCAGGAGAGGGATATCTTCATGCCATGTCAGTCAGGACACCATGAAGAGCCAGGGGCAGACATCCTCCCACAGGGGCATGTCTGTGGTGGGCTCCTGCTGCTGACAGGCACAGGGGGCTTTCTCTTGGAGAGTCCTTTTACTTTGTGCTATTTTCCACTGACTTTGTGCCTTGGTGGCATCGTGCAAGGGAGAGTTACCTGCTGCTGCTGGTTTTCTCTGACCTCTTGCTCTGGTCCAGGGTGAGCTCACATTGTGTGTGCCCCAAGCCCAGCATGGGAGAGCTGCTGCAGGAAGGAAGTTCAGAGTCACAGCCTGGGGAAGGCATGTTGTACCTGCTGCTGAGCACATTACTGCTTCTCCAGGAGTGGATAAGTCCTGCTTACGAGGACACTCGTCCTCTTTTATTTAATTTCCTGGTAATGCTTCTGCAGCGTCGAAGTCTTATCAGGAGAGGAGCAGCTTAAGAGCCTGGTAAAGGAGTTTTCATTGTCAGTATCCATCTCTTTATTCCCCTCTTCCCTTTGACGCTGGATGGCAGACTGGTTGTGGCTGAAATGAGGTGTGCTTTCTTTTCCTTTTGTCTGTTTAAGCTGCAAAGGTTTCCTGGCTAACCTTTTCTGATGGTAACTGGGCTGTGTGAGAGGCTGCTGTCCCTGGTCCCTGGGCGATCATCGGTGGTGGCTCGGCTGCGGGTTCCGTGGGGAGGAGTGAGGGTGAGACCGACCCCCAGACTGCACACAAAAGGACAGATCTGGGGACTGCAGCAGGTCTGACTGGGCAGCTCTGGTCTGGGACTTGTCATCCACTTTGCTGTGGCTTGGTGAGCAAACCCCTGCCTCTGTTTCCCCAGAGCAGTCGCACTGAGCTCAGCCACACCTGAGTCATCCCGGTGCTTTGAGCCCTGCCGTTCATCCTCCTGTCCATGTGCTGCAGGGGCTTGTGGATGTGGAGGCTGGAATTGCTGTGAGCAGTGCAGGGGGCATGAAAACAGAAATGTCCCCTGGGAAGCCAGCAGCTCAGGGACTGCTGCCTAGTGGCAGCCAGCTCCATCCCCGCACATTCCAGGTGTTCCTGTCGGCCACACCAGGCCTGTGGAGATGCAGTGCTACATTCAATCCCCTTTTCAGCTGCACACAATGGCTTTAGATAATGTTTGTTCAAGAAAATTGGTTGAATAGTGTGATTGTTGTTGTTGTTACTGTTGTTCTTTTCAATGCTCATAGGAGTAGCAGAGCAGCTAATGAGGCAGCACAGAGATGGTCACAGGGGAGAGGGTCTCGTCTGTGCTTCCCCACAGCTGCACTCCCCTGGTGATGGAGCTGGTTCTGCTCCTGCTGGGGCTGCTGATGGGTCCCCTGCCCCAGGAGATGCCCGCACCCTTCTTCTCCTTAGCAGTTCCCCTCCCCAGGTCTCACTGTTTTGCTTTACCAGCCATGGAGCTGCATGAGAGAGGGGAAAGTCACGGGTACCTGTCCAGCTGGGCACTGGGAATGGGTCACAGTGGACCTGGCTGTGGTGACACCCCATCACCACAGAGCACAGCTCCCCCAGGGCCAGTGCTGTATCCCTGACACTGGGCAGAGGCACCTAGTGCTCAGAGCTCTCCATGGCTCCTATAGGACACATGGCAGCAGGGCCAGAGCCAGGCTCTGCTCTCTTACAGGATTTTGAGTAGGTCACCATCATTAGGTTTGAAAAAAGATGTTGGAATTTTTTCCCAGTGTCGTTCCCCTACCCCCCCCATCTGTTTCTTCTTAATTTCCAAGTTGTAATCTTGTTAAACTAAGACAGTCAGCTGGGGATCAGGCTTGGCACAGGGCTGTCTTTGCTGGCAGTGATGTCCTCAAGCCCAGAGCTGCGTGTGCTGGCGTGGAGCTGCCAGAAGCTCCCGTCCCCTCCCAGCCCCACGTGCCGTCCCCCTCGGCTCTGCAGCGGGTGTAACGGCACTGGGAGCACGTGGGGGTGTCAGAAATGCAGACAGATAGCACGAGATGGATGATGCATCAAATTCTAAACTGATAAGAGATGAAACAACTGGAGTGTCGTCAAAAGGCCAGGAAGGATCTTTTTTAAATAGACTAAATAGTCCGGACAGGCGCAGGCAATGAGCAGCAGAAACAGCAGCGCGTTCATCACTTTGTTTTCCTGGCTGTGGCTGTGCCTGTTGCCATCTGTGCTGTGCTCTGTGGCCATCCCGATGGTGCTGGGATTGCTCCCTCATCGCAGGCTCACAGCCCTGCTGAGCAGCCTGGAGCCACGGCTGGCATTGCTCCGGGATGCCAAGGGCAGCTTTGGTATGACCTTGCTCTGGGATGGGTGTTCCCATCTCGTTGTCAGTGCTTCAAGGAGTCCCTGGGCTGGCAGTGGAGACTCGGTTGAAGTGCCGTGGCTGAGCCTGCCTTAATCCCAGTTTTTAGACTGGCTGAACTTCTTTCCACTTATCTCTAGTATTGTACAGCCGTGTTACACAGCAGGAAAAAGCCAACACTTGAGTTTGCTCTTAAACCTCTGCAGAGCAGCAGAGACAGCCCTCTTGTTGTGCCAGGGCCACTGTCTCCTCTGAACCCCACAGCAGTGCCATCCCTCTGGGAATGTCCAGAGCCACACCACCAGTAGTTTTTCCCACACAGGTCTTCCATTTAATGAAGTGAAATGCTGAAGCAGAGATCAGACAGTGAGATGCTGGCAGTAGATGGTATGATTTACCCTTGGAGGACATCTCCACGAATGTCCCCGTGTCTGAGCTGCTGGCGCCGTGGCAAGGACGGGCACTGAGCAGTGCACTCTGCACGGGAGGGCGGGGACCGTGGATGTCCCAGGAAGCTGCTGGGACTGGTAGTGCTGGCAGGGGGCAGGGGGCAGGTGGAGTGGGGCTGCTGTGCAGGTCGCAGGGGGCTCGGTGGGAGCGGAGAGGGCTGCCGTGGTGGGGCGCGTTACAGCCTGTCCCTCTGTCCCTCTGCTCCACAGCGCAGCCATGTGATGCCGGAGGAGCGCGGTGGCGATGATATGGAATGTGGGCAGCTGCCTTCGGACACGCTCCGACAGGTGACGGTCCAGCGCCACCCCTTCTACGGATTCGGCTTTGTGGCTGGCAGCGAGAGGCCGGTGGTGGTGCGGTCGGTGGCGGCAGGTACGGAGGGGCTGGGGGCAATCCCGGACACGGCCGCGGCGTGCCGGGAAGCACAGCGGCACCTTTCCCCGGCGGGACCCCTCCCTGCGCTCCTGTCCCCTCCTGGGGGCCTGCAGGGTGTGCTCCACAGCCACATACACGGGCAAATGCTTTGGGGATGCTTGGGACCCTCCTGCTTCCCCTCCACCCCGCAGCTCCGGGATGCCTGGATTGGCCCTGACCCTCTCTCCTGGCAGGCGGCCCCTCTGAGGATAAACTCCTGCCAGGAGACCAGATCTTGGCCATCAACGATGAGGATGTGAGTGAAGCCCCCAGAGAGAGATTCATCGAGCTTGTCAGGTGAGGACAACACTTGTCCCCCATCACCTCTGGGGAGGGGGCTTATGCCAGTCTGCTGTGCCCCTACCAAAGCCTTGGGGTGTTGATGTACACCAGTGTCACTGATGGTCACTGCTGGGGTGGGGAAGCCTCAGCCGGAGCAGGGGGAGTGCCTTGGAGCAATTGCCATATCTGTTCCCAGCTGGCCAAGGAGTGGGCAGCACTGGGAAAGCATCCACAGCCATATTATCAAGCACCCCAAGGAGCCCACAGAGGTCCTGGCTGCCATCGGGCTGGGAAGGGTGGGATGTGCTCTCAATAGCCAAATGCACATGTTGAGGTCATCACCATAAGGTCCCATCCACCTTCATTTCTCCTTTCTGTCACAGGAAGGCCAAGGACTTCATCATCCTCACGGTCCTGCACACCCACCAGGTGAGACTGGCGAGGCCATGGCCAGCTCCAGGGGAGCCAGGACAGGGGTTAAAAGCCCTTTTGGAAACTGAGGTGGGGTCCCCAGAGACCCCAGGAAACCACTCAGGCAGCTCAACTGACTTGTTGGACCAGTGTCCCACCACCCCAAGGCTCTTCCAAGTTGTGAGGCCTGAGAGCTGTCGCAGCCCCTTGGGGTCAGTGTGGGTGTGCAGCCATCTCCCTGTCCTTGCCACTGCCTCCTCGCAAGAGGGAGGGAGGAAAAATACACCCAAACCCCTGCGGTTTGCTGAGGACATCCCATGTGTCTGATGAAGTGACCCATCATCATGCCAGAGGTGGCAGGGAGGGGTCGTCCCCTGGGAGCTGGGAGTGCCAGACTGCAGTGTGGCTGGTGGTGGTGCTGGCACCAGTGGTGATGGTGCACCGGGGCTCAGCACCCGTGGTGCTGGAGCAGACAGGACCATCCTGCCACTGCCAGTGGCAGTGGTGGCAGGGCACCATTTCTGCTTCACTGAGCCCTTTGATGTCAGGGAAGGAGATAAGTGCAGAGCTCCCCTGTGCTCCCCTCCTCTCCAGGAAGATGCCACCACCCAGCACGGCCCCGTCGGGAGCGGGGATGTGTGCCAGGCTCCAAAAAAGCTCTTTTCCTCCTGGCCCTGGATGGCCACCTGCCAGCTGATGCTGGCACCATCGGGCATGCCCAGCTCTGTGGCACGAGTCTCCATGCCGGAACATGTGCAGGCACAGGCTCCCCAGCACTGCCACCAGAATGTCCTGCACAGATGCCCAGGGTCCTGCCTTCTCCCATCTCCCTGTGGCTGCAGACCCACATCCAGGGGGTTTGTCTCTCCGATCTAAACCAGTGCTGGTGCTTCCAAGCAAGACCTGGCTGGTGTCTGCCAGAGTTCAGCCTGCACAAGGAGTGCTGGACACGTGAGCTCGCTGGGGGTGCAGCATCCCCTGTCATGCTGAGGCTGCTGGTGTGCCTTCAGGGACTGCTGCTCATCGTTCTGGCCCCACCTGCAGCACCGTAAAACCACAACAAAGAGAACTTGCTTTCCACTCCCCATTTCATGGTTTGCTGCCCGCTCCCCATCATCACGCTGGCTTCAGAGGGGCTTCCTCTGGGCTGTGTGTCTGGTTTTCCCCACACCATGGCTCCAAAGGCAGGCAGACGTGCCACAGCTCCGAGGGCAGGCAGGTGATTTACCCAGTGCTCTCTTTCCAGTCTCCCAAATCTGCTTTCATCAGCGCAGCCAAGAAGGCGAAGCTAAGGTCCAACCCCGCGAAAGTCCGATTTTCAGAGCAGGTGACAGTCGGCGAGACAGACCCAGTAAGTCCTACCCTGCCTTCCTCTGTGTGTCACCACCCCCTTGAGGTGTCCCTGGGGCCGTGGGGTGTGAGGTGTCTGGGGGCACAGGGCTCCTCTCCCAGTCTGGGCTCTGCCATCTGGCCTGGGGAGCCCCAGAGGGCAGATGCCCTTGGGCACAATCAACATGTTGGGTCAGTGCTGGGGGGACATCCCCTATCCCTCTGTGGGACAGAGCCCCAGAAATTGGCCTTAGAAACCTGGTTCCTGTCTGAGTATCCCTGGGCACCCAAGGGAGGCATCCAGGCAGTGCCAGTGCCTGCCCTAAGGAAGGTGTGTGGGTTCCAGCCTGATGCCAGAGGGTTCACAGGAATGCCCGTGTGTGGAGCAGGGTCACGAGGGCATTGCTGCATGGCCATGGATGCTGCAATGTTCCAGCCCAGTGCCTTTATCTCTTCATCAGAAAGGTTTTATTACTGAGCATACAAAAAAAATAGCCCCAAAATAAAACTGAAAAAAACCCCAACCCTGTAAAGTGCTTCTAGCAAATTCTATTTTTAAGCAAAATCAATTAGGTAATTATCTGATTGAAACACTTCTCACTAAATAAAACCAGCCTTCCTCCAACTTCCTGCAGAGGGGACAGGCTGGGTTGAGGGGGGCTAGGCTTGGGGCAAGGGTCAGGAGAAGGGGATAGGCTCTGAGCCACCCTGGCCACCGCCTCCCCTCTGGGACACCAGCTGGGGAGTGGGACAGGCTGCCAGGCATGGGCACTGGGATGTGCTGGACAGAGAGGGATGCTCTGTTCCCAGTGCAGCTGCTGGGAGCTGGCGGGGTAAATCTGTCAGGCAGCTCCAAATTGCTTCAGCTCTGCGCTTCTCAATGGCTCAGCAGAGTGCTGGGTTTCCAGGGGAAATGTGCCTCTTAGTGCAGAAGTGCGGAACAGTGGAGGATGCCACGAGCACTCCATCACTGACACTCGTTCTCTCTTCCCGTCTTCCCTCTGTCTCCCCGTGCCCCCCCATCCTCCTCGCCTCCCCCTTTGCCGGCCCCACATGCCAGGACATGTTGAAGAAAGAAGCTCTCCTCCTCATTCCCAATGTGCTGAAGGTTTTCCTGGAGAATGGGCAGATCAAATCCTTCACGTTCGACGGCCGGACCACTGTGAAGGTGAGCCCCTCTGCCTCCCCCCGCGGCACCGTGACACTTCTCTCCTCCCACCTGCCCAATTCCATTTTTCCTCATCTCCTGCTTCCGTGCACAAACACCGCCGCAGCAGCGCTTGGCTGGCTGGGAGCTGCTCTGGCATGATGGATAGCCCGTCTGCCTCCCTGGGCGACACGCTTTGCAGCTGGCAGGGATGGGATTTTGCTCTCCTTCTCCCTCTCCTGACTTTCCTCCTTGCCATGAGCCTGCTCTCCAGCCAGGGTGGATGCTCCTGCGAGTCCCCCTGCCAGCTCCCTGCAGATCCCTTCAGCACCACCACGGTGTTACCCGGGGTGCTGGGCATCTGGCCGCTGGTCACCTCCTGCTGCAATGTCACTTGGAGCAGCAGGGGCTGGGTACCACCCCACAGCCCCTCTCAGCACTGCCAGGCCTCATCCTTCACCAGCATGGCCCCAGCTGCCAGGGAGGGGCTGGGCTCTCACTGGGGTGCCAGTTCCCACCCTGGGAAGCAGCCAGTGCCTCGCAGCCAAGGATGTCTGTGATGTTTGCAGGACGTGATGGTGACATTGCAGGACCGCCTGTCGCTGAGGCACATCGAGCACTTTGCCCTGGTCCTGGAGTATTCCAGCCCGGAGCAGAGCCACCGCTTCCTGCTGCTCCAGGACAAGCAGCCACTGGCCCATGTAAGCTGCTGGGTGTGGGAGGGTGTTGGGATGGCCCTGGGCAGGGGCCAGGGCACAGAGAGGCTCTTCTGCCCCCAGTGTGGGGCTTGGCTGGGGTTGTGCTGTGCAGTGGCATAGCCTCTCCTTGCCTCTGGCATGGTCCTGCATGCTCAGGGGTGAAGAGAGTGGCCAGAGAGGGAGACAAGCAGGGTTTTACCCTTTCCACACTGACAGCACCATGGAGATGCTCTAGGTTCCAGCCAGGGGAGCTACAGACAGCATTTATGAACATCCTTGACCTGCCCAGGAGAGCCAGGGAGCTGGCACTGCACAGGACCAGGGATAAAATGGGGATCATGGAGGTAGTGTTAGCTTGTGTGGCATAAACCCCTGCAGCACCAGGCAAAGCTGTCACACCAAGGAAGGCTGGGCTGTTCCTGGGATGAAAGGATGAGGAGAGAAATCGGGTATCACCCCAAAAGAGAGGAGAGGGGGTCTCCTGCCCTACAGGCAAATATACAGTTCCTGGGCTCACTGCTCCCCTCTGCTCCTGCCACAGGTTGTGCAGAGGACACACTACCATGGCATGAGATGCCTCTTCCGTGTGAGCTTCTTCCCCAAGGACCCAGTGGAGCTGCTGCGCCGGGATCCTGCAGCATTCGAGTACCTGTACATCCAGGTAGGGGACTGGGAGCTGATGGTGCTCCTGGCCCACACATCTGCCGAGGCTGGGCCTGTGGAGGCACCTCTCAGGTGGGAGATGCCTGTCCCTGTGTTTGTCTGAGGACACCTCTCCTCCCTCCCGCAGAGCCGCAACGATGTGATCAGAGAGCGCTTCGGCACAGACCCCAAGCCAGAGATGCTGCTGGGGCTGGCTGCCCTCCACATCTACATCACTGTCTCAGCCACCCGCCCCAGCCAGAAGGTCTCCCTCAAGAATGTGGAGTGAGTCCTGCTCCCTGTCCCCACCTTCGGTGCAGCCCTCCTTTGTGCCCCCTCCCTGTTCCCCCGTGTAACTGGCGTGCTCCAAGCAGTGATTTGGGGTGCAGAGCACGAGATGCCCTGAGAGCCCCCCCTTGAGCTGGCCACTGGCTCATGGCCTCGGCAGCAGTGATACACAGCCCCTGGTCCCACCACGTGTAAGACCCCCTCACACTGACATCCAGCCCTGTGCAGCAGCCGTGCCAGGGCTGGGGATATTTGCTGTGAGCCCAGGATCATTTCCATGGGAACCTGGGCAAGGAGAAAGCTTTGTGACTGCGTAATCTCAGCCCATCACCAAGCTGTTCAGACCTGGCTCAGCCCTCCTGCAGCTCCTGGGGGACCTATATCCATACATAGTCCATCTGTGCAGGCTGGCCTTACCCAGTGGGCACAGGGAGGAAGGAGGGAGATGGCACTCCAGGAGGACCCAAAAAGAGGTTTGGGAATTTGCCCTGCGTCCCTTAACCTTACATAAAGGTGAGGGGGAGCTGGGCTCAGCTGCAGAGCCTGGCACTGCTGTTCCCCAGCTCAGTGCTGGTAGCTATGGCACCAGCCTGGGGTCCCATCCCCCTGGGGACCCAGGCTGGGGGCTGCTGCTGCCCTGGCTGTGACACCAAGGAACTGCTGGTGTGGCTCCGGCTCCCTCTGACGGCAAGAGGATGCTCTGGGACAGCATCCCTGGTTTCTGTCCCTCTCTGCCTGTCAGCAAGGGTCTCTGGCCTGGCAGCTCATGCAGGCTTCCCTCCCCACAGGAAGGAGTGGGGCCTGGAGCCCTTCCTGCCCCCCTCACTCCTGCAGCTCATCAAAGAGAAGAGCCTCCGGAAATCCCTCTCGCAGCAGCTCAAAGCCCACCAGCACCAGCCTGGCGGCACCAAGGTGAGCCCAGCACAAGCTGCCCTGGTTCAGGGCTGGTGGGGTGTCAGCCTGCCCTCCACCCCAGCCTGTTGTCCCCAGCTGCTCAGGGGCTCCTGTTGTTAAGTCCCCTTGGATGTGAGATAAATCCTAGGGAGACAGCCAGATGGACTCTCTCTCCTGAATCCAGTTCCAAACGCTGTTCTGGATTTCAGGGAGTGCAGTGAAGTTCAGGGGTGAGATCAGCTGAGATCCAGCTCTCAGCTTGGCTGAAGTGGCACAGATCAGTTTATTGGTATCTCTGTTTCTGGGCTTGGAAAGCTCTGGAGGCGGCTGCTGAGCCACTGCCTTGGGCCCTGCAGCCTTCAGAGCTCCCTGGGGACGGGGGGCATATATCCCCCAGGAGGGTTATACATCTTGAGGTATGGGTTATACATCAAGCACTGGGGCTCCTTTCTGGCTGTGCCTCAGCTCTGAGTTATCTCCCAGCATCTCCCAGGATGGCAGAGGAGTGGAAACCCCCCCAACCCCGTGTCTCAGATTCCTGCCAGCACAGCCCATGCCTGGAGCTGCCTGACCACTTGCTGTCCATTCCTACTGAGACCCCCTAAGTTTGCACCAGTCTCTTGCATTTTTTCCCCTCGTGCTCATGGTTATCATCTTTGTGATGTGTCTTGTCAGGTCTCCACAGCCCAGGCAAAGCTGCAGTACCTGAGGATCCTGAACGAGCTGCCGACCTTTGCTGGGGTCCTCTTCAACACAGTGGGGCTGGTACGGTAATTCAGGGTGGGCTGGGAGGGGCCTGGCAGTGGTCCTGAGAGTGTGCTGGAGGGGAGAGACAGGGGAGGTGTGGCTCCCACAGAAATTATTTCCCTCAGTCTCTTACTCTGCCCTGACAAGGTCCAAACCCACCCAGTAAAGCCTTCAGAGCCTCTGCTGTCAATAGGTTGGATCTTCAGCTCTGCAGGGTCAGGGTCAATTCTGTTCTTGCCACCCTGTTGGGCAACGAGATGACCTGCTCAGTGAGGTTGGAGTAGTTTCAGACGTGTTTGTAACTTGATCATGCCCTGGCAGCATCTGGTATGGGTGCTTTGCCTTTTTTCTCCCATCTCTGACACCAAAGCAATGACTCTCAGCCAGCCTATGAGTTGAACTACGTGTAAGGAGTACAAAGTATTCCCTTGTTCTCTTCTGCACTGCGCTGCCCAGCTCCTCTTCTCCTCCACGTCTGGCTTGAAGCATCCTTCTAGACCAGAGCAAGAAAGATCCCTATATCCAGCCAAGGCTTTGGTCTTTCTTCTTTTCTAAAATACATTCACTCCCTCCTTTGCTTCCTTCTCTCAGAGGCAGTGTCAGATCAGGCAGATTTGTAACACACTCTTACTTCTGTGTAGTGACACCAGCAAGCCTGAATATTTCATGTGGACAGTCAGTTCAGAGCTTTATTTTAAATAACCATGGCATCCTGCACACCGTTCCCAGCTCTGCAGAGGGGCTCAGGGAGGCAGGTTCATGGCACCAGCTTCACCTGCTGCTCTGAAAAGGCCGTCGGCACCCAACCAAGGTGCCAACGTTGAGGCTTGGCTCCATGGAGAGAGCCAGGCACAGCCTGTACAGCCCCAGGGTGCATTTATTCACTCCTGTCTGTCTGTCTCTCTTTCCCCATGTGCCTGTGCCCCAGGATGAGAAGCAGCCAGCCACCACCCTTCTGGTGGGACCCCGGCACGGCATCAGCCACGTCATCGACCTGAAGACCAACCTCACCACGGTGCTGTCAGAGTTCAGCAAGGTCAGCAAGATCCAGCTGTTCAGGGAGAACCAGGGGGTGGCCCGGGTGGAGACAAGCATCCTGGATGCCAAGGTAGGCACTAGTGCCATAGAGGCAGGCACTGGGGAGAGGGGCTGGTGTGCAGTGTGAGACTGGGGGTCTGGAGCCAGCCTTGAGGGGATTCAGGTCACAGGTGCGTGTTGGAGCATCTTCGTGGGGATTTCTAGAGGCTCCAAAGCCCCTTTCACGCTGTGGTCACAGGATGTGTGGTCTGTGGCACCTCCCCTGCCCATCTGACTCCTTGTGCCACACGGGCAGGGACTGGTGCCGAGGGCCATGGTGCAGGGGTGGTGGTGTTCTGGCCATGACCCAAACACCTACCCAATGGTTTGAGCAGAGTCCTCTGGAGGCAGGACAGCTCAGGGCTGGAGAGGAGCAGTATGTGGCCATACCTGGGCTGGGTGCAGGTACTGGAGGGGACTGGGGGGGTTCCTGCATTAGCAGCACTTGTGGAACTTGTTGAGCCCTGCAGGACTGCTGAATGAACTGGAAATTGTGTGGGGCATGGGTGTCAGGCTCAGAGTGTGAAAAGAAACCACTGTGTCCCTAGTTCAGCAAGCTCCCCCCTGGTATCTTGCCAACTGCCCCCATTATCCTCCCCTTCAGCCCACAGAGCCCACTCCTTGGTGTACATGCCCTCCTGAGCCCTGTGTCTTGTCATCCTCCATCTCCTGCTAGTTGTTGTGTGGTGCAGTGCTGCTTTTGATAGTCAATCCCCATGGTCAGGCCCTGCCACCCCTCCTCACCCCTTGTGGGTCCCAAACCCTTCAGAAAAACTGTCAGCAATACAGCAAGAGCTGTACTTGCTTCTTTGATGTCCGGTCCAGCAGCCACAAGATCCTAAGGAGATCTTCCATTGGCTTTTGCTCAGGTTTTTAGCAAGCTGGGACATGTCCCCAGCAGACTCAAAAGCAGATAACCTTGTGCCTGCTCCAGGGCATCCTTGGTGTCACTGCCTCCCTGCCCCGTGGGGAAGGACAGCTGAGAGGCAGAGATATTACAGATAAATGCCAAACCTCATCTTCTCCTCTCCTCTCCTCCCACCTTTACTGGTGTATCTGCACACTGGTGTATCTGCACAAGCCCTCTGAGCTTTTGGCTGTGGGTCAGTTTTGCTGCCCCTACATTCATCCCTTTTCCCCCTGAGACTGATGAAGCTGAGCTGCTTTGCTGCTGCCTCTGTGTTTCCTCATCTCCTGTGAGGTCTTTAAGCCCCAGCCTTCTCTCCAGCCCTTTCCTTGCACCATTTCTGTTGTAGTCTTGCAGATGTAATCATGGTGGATTTGTTTAGGATTCTTCTGCTGCCTTCTGTCCTGGTGGATTTTAGTACTTTTTCCCACCAGGCTCATTAATTCCTCCACATCTGTTTTCCTGCTGCCACTGTGCCTGGTCCAGTAGATCTGCTGAACTGCAGTAACACCCCAGTAGCCTCTGCCAGAGCCACATTAATCCTCATCCCCTCTGCTTCAGTTCTCCCCTCCAACAGCCTCGTTTTTGCATTCATAACTCAGTGGGTATTTGGTCAACTGTAATATCTGTAATATTCCCTCTTCTGCGTCCCACTGAGGTCAGTTGTTGCCCAGTTAAGTCCTGGTGTCCTGCTGTGGCTGTCCCAACCCTTCAAAACCCTCAACCTCCCCTACTGCAGCCTGGGCAGGTGGAAACCCTCCTTGCCCAGCCCCTCCAGCTGCCTGGGCTGTGCAGATGCCCGTTGGTCTCCTCCTTACTGCTTATAGAGCAGGAATAACCAAGGGACACCCTCTGTACCATGAGTAACCCTTCTGGTTCCTCCTGGTGCCTGCACCCCTCGGATCTGTGTGTATAAAATCACCATATTAATGCATTAATAATAGGCTGGTCACAACCCTGTGACTGCCCGTGGCTCCCTGTGAGTGCTCAGAGCGTGGCTGTCCCTGCTCTGTGGCTGTTCCAACGTGTGCCAGAGCTGTGCAGGAAGATGTGTGGCACTGGCTGTGCTCCATGGGCTCATGGTGGGGTGCTGCTGTCCCCTCCCTGGCGTGGGAGAGGGCAGTGTCCCCCCTGGCACAGACTGTCCCCAGGAGTGACAGATGTGCTGGAGGCTTAGGTGACACTGGAGTCCATCTGCTGTGAATTAGGTGGCAATTCCCACACAGCTTGTCCACAGATCCCGCTGTGCTGCTCCCCTCAGCCATGCTCTGCAGCAGCAATCAGCCACTACCAGCCCTTTCCTGCTGGAGGAGAACATTTTCTCCTGTGTCCCCTCTGTCCAGCCCCCCAAAGGCTGGAGAAAAGCCAGCTCACATACTTCCCACAAGCACAGTGGCTTTATCTCCGTGAGAAATTCCAGGAGGCTGCCTGCAGCCACCCAAAGCCCCTCTGCCTGCCTAGAGCACCCTACTTGTGGATCTCAGCAGGCTCAGCAGCACCCTGCCAGCACAGAGGCTGCTGTTATCTGTCTTCATTTAGCCCTTATCCAAAGGGCTGGGATTTAAAGCCAGAATGTCTGCTCCAAAACGAGGCATATGCTAATCCTGCGCAGGACAGCGATGGATGAGGCAGGCTAAGAAAAGCAGGCAAAAAGATCATTACCTCGCAGTGCTAATCTGCTTTCTACAATTATTCTGTTGCACTGAACGTGTCGCTGGCTAAAGCCCTGGATTGCAAATAAATCTGTTTGTGGCGTGAGTCGCAAACCATTAGAGGGTTGTGCTCGAAGTAGTGTCCTGACTGCTCTGGGGACCTGTCAAATCCATATCACCCTTGGAAGCCTGTTGGAGCCCCATGGATTGCAGTGCAGGAGGGGATGCCCACCTGGGCTGTTGTGGCTGGTGCTGCTGTGTCGTGGGATGCTGGTGCTGGGGCAGCTCCCGGCCTGAATCCGTACGAGGTGCTCGCTGGGTTACTGTGGAAACACAGATGGTCAGTGATGGTTCAGGGATTTGTGCAGAAAGGCCATCTTGAGTTTTTCAGGGCAGTTAAAATGATGGGTTAAAAAAAGGGGTCAGGTCACGGACCATCCATCAGCTGGGAGGTCTGAACACCCTGACTGAACCAGCCAGTCCTTATCCCCCACTGGCCTGCAACTACAGCCCAGACTCACCCACCAGGAAGGAGCTGGGGGAGATTTTCAGGTAACAAGCAGGCTTGAGGAGATGGTAAACCATTTGCATTTATTTTAGGAGAAAAAGAAATGGTGTTTGTCTTATGAATTATTCACTAGGTAGTTAATTCGTTTGTTTTGGAGCTTTTCCAGCCTGGGCTTCCGTTTCTGTTTAAAACAGCACATTTAGGATACAAACCCAGGGCTGGTACCTCTGCTTTGCCTTCTTTAGCTTTTCACCACTGCGAGTGTGGCAAGGAGGGGGCAAATGCTGACAGGACCCCTCACAGAGGAGCAGAGGAACAAAAGCCTCCAAGCCTATGCTACCGGTTCCAAGAAGGATTTTTGTTCCCTGCAAGGTCCGTGAGAGCTGCTGGGAGGACAGGAGCAAGTTTCATCTCAACAGTCACAAGGGAGCAGGGCAGGTTTGCTTGGGAATGCTGAGAAAGTTCACATCCTGTAGCTGGGGGCAGGACAGCACTCCCCCAGCTGCCCTGAGTGGTGCAGGTGTTTTGCAGGATTTCGTGGTCATTCCTGCCTGGCAGTCTCCTCTCTGCTGTGGCTGTTGCTTCTCCATTCTTCCTCCTGCTCTCTGGACTTGCTGATGTTCAAGCATTGATTCTGAAGCTCATAGATTTGCTGGGGGCAGTGAGGTGGCAAAAGGTGCCTCCTGTGATTTTTATGCATTAAGTGCAGCTTGTGCAGGGGGCACTGTGTGGGGCTCAGGGGGCCCTGCATCTCCCAGGGGCTTCCCCCTCCTGCTGCCTGGCAGTGCTGGGACCAGCATTTGAGAGTGGCCAGTGCTTATGTTCCAGCTCAGAACTGGGCTTTGGGCATGCATCTCCTCCCCTCCCCAGTGCAGTCCTCTTCTACCTCCCAGTATCCCAGGAAGGACAGTGTCAGCATCTCCTGCCTGGCACCTGGACAAGCCCAGCAGCCCTGATGGGGCACAGAGGGGTGGATGACTGGCCACCACGCTCACCAAGGCTCCCCAGTGCAGGAGGTGTGGGGAGAGCTGTCTCAGCTCCAGGCTCCCCTGGCTGTGCGGCTCCGCAGCTCCCGCAGAAACAAAAGGTTTGTTTTTTACTGAAATGCCTTTTCCAACGGAGCATTTCTGCTTTCTGATTTACACAGCTACACACTGCTGGGCTTTTTCTTATTAACAGTCTTGACTTTGGAAAAAAGGCTGCTGAAGCACTCTGAATGAGAATGAAGGATGTTTGGGGGACAGCTGGATCGCCTGAGCCCAAAAACAAGTGTGTGCAGCTTGAAAGAGGAGCTGTTCCAGGCTGTGCCATGTCCCTGTGCGGGGCTGTGGGGCAGGAGCACAGGGTGTCTGGCTGCTGGACAGGCACAATTCAATCAAAGGCATCTGGGTAATTGACTTCAGTCTCCAGCAGGGCCTGCAGCCAGCCAGTGCTTAAGTCGAGATCAAGACTTGACAGAGGAAAACAAAGGCAAAATTAATTCACAAAGGTCCCTGGCTGCTGCTGTGCCTGGAATCTGGGTATTGATCTTGGTGTCCCAGGGGCCCCTAGTGTGCTTCCAGCCTGCCTTGAAAATAAATACCATGCACAGCTGGGGTTCAGCCTTTCCCTCTCCCCCTGGAAGAAGCCACAGAGCCCCTTCCTCTCACTGGAGATATGATGGTGACCCCTCCGAGCCCTCCCTGCTGGAGCCAGCCCCGAACCCAGTGGTGCTCCCCCAGTTGAGCGTGGCAGGGACATGCCATGGGTGCCCAGGCCAATGCCCTCTCTGTATTTGCCAGTTTGTGGTCTGAAAACTGTGGGGAGCCCCATCGTACTGACAAGGGCAGGCGAGGCCAACATTACTCCTGCTTGTGCAAACAGTGGCTGAATCCTATCAGATTTTTCCATGAAGAGCAAGGCTCTGGAGTGACAATGGACCTGGAGGCTCTGGATTCGTCTTTATTTGCATTAAGCCGTGCTGA